GGTGGTGTCTGCATCTCAGAGGCAAGACTAGGTGGCCTGTTCTTGATAACTCTTACATGTTCCATTCTCATGATCTTCAAATAGGTCTTGTGTCTGAAAACAAGTGCTGTGGCTTCACACACGTCATAATGAATCAACCTTGGTGGCTACACAAGGGATTCGCACCTCTAGATCAGTGATGGCTAATTTTTTTGCCATCACATGCCAGGAGCGGAGGGGGGGGTGTCACGTGCATGTGTGCCCACACCCATAATTCTATGCACCCCACCCCCGTGCATGCGCATGAGACTCCCCATTCCTGGCACATGATTGCATGGTGGGCCCGGTAGGCCCATTTTTCTCTCTCCCCAGGCTCCAGAGCCTTTCTAGAAGCCTGGGGAGGGCAAAAACAGCCTTCCCCACCCCCCCAGAGGCCCACCGGAGGCCGGAAATGGCCTGTTTGCCAACTTCTGTTTTTTGCTCTTCCCCAGGCTCCAGAGCCTTTCTAGCAGCCTGGGGAGGGCAAAAACAGCCTTCCACCCACCCCCAGAGGCCCTCCAGAGGCCAGAAACATCCCATTTGCCAACTTCCGGTGGGACCGGAAGGCCTGTTTTCTGCTCTTCCCCAGGCTCCACAGTCTTTCTAGGAGGGGGAAAATGGCCTCCCCCCCCCGGAGGCCCTCTGGAGGCCAGAAACGGCTCATTTGCCAATTTCCCACCAATACCATAGGTTCACCATCACAGCTCTAGATGTTACCATTATCCTTAGCAGAAATTCTCTGGGTAGAGAATTATGGCAATTGCACACCTGGTAAAGACTAGAATAAAGAGGAGTAATCTGGCCTTCCTTGATTTCTTTAAAGTTAAAGAAAGACAAGCTGATCGTTGTATAGAGGTGAATGTGAAAAGACTAATTCTTGGGATAAAATTAGCCCTTCAGTATATAGAAGTTTGGCTGTTTGTGCTGGTGTTAGGATATCAAAGGAGAGCAAACTTGGAAGCACATAATTAGGAGACCGCCTGCATCTGGCAGACTTGTGACATCCCTGTGGCGACAGAGCCTTTCTAAATTGCTACTATCTGAATGTCTTTCTGACATTTCCTGATGGTTGAAATTAAAAGTTGGAAAATCAGATTACTTTCTCTGTCTTTGCTTGCTCTACCCTTACATTGCCACTGTGTTTTTTTTTTGACAGCCTTGAGAATGGGAGTTGATGGGAGGATGGAAGTTGCCAGGGAGAAAGGGAGCTCCATTGTCTATCAAAAAAACCTGGAGAAAATGAACTCCAGGTTTTCCCGGAGTTATAGAAGTTTGTTAGCTAGATTTCTGTCCTGCCTCTTTTCCAAGACTTCAAGGCAGTTTACATACTGTAGACATTTCTCCTCATTTTATCTTCATGGCAACTCTGCTGTGGGCTGAAAGAATGACTGGTCTTAAAATTAGCCAATGGGTGTCCCTGGCTGAGGGTGGACTTGAACCTATGTCTCCCTAGTCTTAATCCTGTACCTCCACTACTGCATCCTACTGGCCTCACAACGAGGGAAGTTATTATTTGAAAGCACCATCCAGGAGCTCTATCTTAACTAGTAATTATATATATTTCCCAGCTTTTATTCAGGAGCTGAAGGCAGCATATTTAGTTGTATCTCCTTCCATGTTCTTCCCACAACAATACCTCAGTGAAGCAAGAGAGGAGAACTGGCCTAAAGTCACTGGGAGTTTCTGTGGAGAAGTGAACCTGGTTTCTCTCCAGCCCTGGTCCAACACCTTAAACAATACAGAAACAAATTTGACCTTTGAAACTGAAGGAGAAAATTTGCCTTCTTTCTCCACAGTTTTTACTAATTAGAATGTATTCTTTACTTCTCAACTATTGAGTCCAAACTTCCAAATTCTCCTCAGAAGGTTGTGTTTTGACCAATTTGAAGGACCCTTAACTTCTTTCACTTGATACTAATGGTCTGGTCTTTCTGAAGTTCTGTTGCCTTCTTTCACATTTTGAAGATTTGTTTGTTTGTTTCATATTTATAAACATATATATTTCGTGTATAAGGGACTTCTCTCAAAGTTCTCTTAGGCAAAAGAAGCCTAAGTTATGAAGGACATGCTTGGACAGTATGAAATAGCAATTGCTGAAAGCAAAAATACTATTTTCCCCCTTCATTATTATTATTTTAAAGTGGTAATTGAAGTACCGTTTTGTACATGGAATTGAACCATATCTCTCCAAAACAGGCAAAAGTGGCACATGTTGTACTGAGAGAAAACTGTTTTCTGGTAGCCAGATTCTCTTACTCATTTCCTGTCAAAGAGAATTGATGCTGAATTTCAAAATATGCTGTATATAATAAGCATGTGGGAGTGATTGACACAAAATTTTTATCATAATCATTAACATAACATTATGAAGCAGTAAGATGAATTAATTAGAATAAATCCTCTCCCCGCTACCAAATTTATCTTGCCAGTTACCCTGTGAAGTTGGCCAAACAGAATCAATTTGAACATTTTGTTTAAAGGAAGATTTCAGCCTGACTTTCTCAGACATAGTCCAAGGCAGCATATCTTATTGTATCATATAACTAGATAGGGCCATAACCAAGTTTCTTCCAACTCAAATGGCCCCCAGGAAGCTATTGATGTATCAATTCCCTTGATTCATTTCTGTTGTAAAAGACAGTGTAGCTTCCCTTGGCTGATTTGATTTAATGGCATGACTAAGTCTTCTGTAGTCCCCCTGGAGCCATTCTAATAAAGATGGGCATTTGCATAATCCAGCTATAGACAATCTCTCCTCTTGGGATCAATATGGACATCAAAGATCTATGAGGGAGGAAGCCCAGAATATCAGCAACCATCCACAGAACTGGAGTTAAGTCACTTTCAAAAGGAAGAAATCTATGGGTTTCCTTTCAAGACAAACACTATTTGGCGTTCCAAGTAATTTTTTTTTTTAAAAAAGGGGGGTGTTTATAGTAGTGTTTGCTAGCATGGGGAGAACTGGCACCATTATTTCTCTTTTCTCTGGGTTTTGTTTCCCCTTCTCTCCTTTCCTTCCATGCTTGATGAACAGTTTCTCTCTTTTCTACCACCCCTTCTCCTTCATCTTTCCCATACAACCAGCACCCTAGGCAGGTACAGAAGAAGCTGTACTTCCTGAGAATGCTCAGGAAGATAAATCTATCTCAGCATCTACTTCTGGCCTACTATTGCAGCACCATTGAGAGTGTCCTGACATACGGCATTCTTGCATGGTATGGGAGCAGCTCTGTAGCAGACAAAAAAGCTCTACAGAGAATCATTAAAACTGCCCAGAATCTCATCGGACTCCAGCTACCAGCCCTGGACGACATTTTCGAATCTCACTGTTTGACAAAGTTGCATAACATTCTCAGAGACTCTTCCCATCCTGCTTACAATCTTTTTGGACTGTTGCCTTTTGGCAGAAGATACAGAACAATTAAAACTCGGACCACACGTTTTCTGAATAGCTTTTATCCCAGAGCTATAATTGCACTCAACCATGAACTAAAGGGCCACCACCAGTGAGCTGTTGGACAGCATTACTTGGTCTGTTGTGTGGATGTTTGGGTGGTTTAGGGGTGGGGAATTGTGGTAGGTGGGAGTGTGTTTGGGGATTGTTATGTGTCTTTGGGTGTTAAGTGAATTTAGTTGTATGGGTATACTGTGTATACACATACAATGACAATAAAGTTGTTGTTGTTGTTATTATATTATTATTATTATTATTATTATTATTATTATTATTATTATTATTATTATATAGATCAATGTTTTTGTCTCCATGTTACCAATCTCTAAGGCATGTTTACAGTTTACACAGTAAAACGTAAAATTACACAGTCAGCCAGCCATTTAGACTGGATTTGACATTTTTATCCACCTATTGAGTCCTTCCCAAAGATCTGGGATAGGCAGATGTTGTTTCATAGGTTAATGATATCATTGTAGGATGTATGCTCTTCCACATAAAGCTGCTTTCTGGTAGTGGAAATTTTGAGTAGTTCAGAGAACTGGCAAATGCGAACTCTAGCTGGCCCCAGAGTGGGGTGGGAATGGAGATTTTGCAGTATCCTTCCCCTCCCCTGCCATTCCCACCAAACCACGCCCACAGAACCAGTAGTAAAATAAAATGGACTTCACCATTGGATTGCATCCAAAGTGCCCATTTCTATTGATACTTTTATTATTATTATTACATTGATTAAACGTGGCTTGGTATATATAAATAACACTTGTACTTGTATCACTATATATACAATCAGAACCATAGATGGATAGAGGATATGTTTCCACAGATTATCTTTCCTTCAGATTTTAAGATGAAGAACACGGGTTTAGCTTCCATAAGAAAACTGTGTCATGTTCTTTTAAATTCTATATTGGCTGTTATCTTTTGACAAATAACATTTTTATAGGATTTCATAATAGCCAAAATACATAGCAATAAGTCAAGAAATTAAGCATGTACATTGGTTTGAAATAACCAAATTTAAGGGTCTCCTATACCTTAGCCACTGATGTGGTGGCTCAGTGGCTAAGATGCTGAGCTTGTTGATCGAAAGGTCAGCAGTTCAGCGGTTCGAATCTCTAGTGCTGTGTAACAGGGTGAGCTCCCGTTACTTGTCCCAGCTTCTGCCAACCTAGCAGTTCGAAAGCACGTAAGAAATGCAAGTAGAAAAATAGGGACCCCCTTTGGTGGGAAGGTAACAGCGTTCCGTGCACCTTTGGCATTTAGTCATGCTGGCCACATGACCACAGAGACGTCATCGGACAGTGCTGGCTCTTCGGCTTTGAAACGGAGATGAGCACTGTCCCCTAGAGTTGGGAATGACTAGCACATATGTGCGAAGGGAACTTTAACTTATACAACTGTACCAGGGACTAGTCACTATATCCTGCTTGATATTATTCTCCAATAATTCTTGAATTGCCTATATGGAATGCTGGAAAAAATAATGCCATTTTAAATATGCTTTGTATTTCTTCTTCTCTCCCAGCCCAGAACTGCAGTTACATTTTGCAAGGTCCAAACGGGACAATACAAAGTCCGGGGTTCCCGTACGGCTATCCAAATTATGCAAACTGTACCTGGACAATCACCGCCAAAGAGCAGAACAGAATTCAACTTGTTTTCCAGTCCTTTGCGCTAGAGGAAGATTTTGATGTCTTATCTGTTTATGATGGGTTGCCCCAACAAGGAAGCCTAAGAACAAGGTATGGAGGAAAAAAAAAATTCTCTATCAACTGCAGCAGGAAAATGTTTACATACAAGATGTCTGTTGCTTGGATTAAAACACATAGATCGGAGGTCTTCAAACTTGGCAGCTTTAAGACTTGTGGACTTCAACTCTTAGAATTCTTGTCAGAAAGCTGCCAAGTTTGGGGACGCCAGACATAGATGGAGGTTCTTATAAAATGGGGTTTCATTTTTCTTTTATGAAGTTATCTAAATTGTCTGGATTCTACACACTTGATAAGGGCTTAAAAATGCTACTAATTTTGTTCAGTGCTCTGGTGTTACAGTGACTGTGCTGCTTGAGACTTTTAATGAAATTAATCAGACGATGACAAACCTATTCTTAGAAAGCCGTTGATTTCTCTGATTATATTCAGAGGTGGGTTTCAGCAGGTTCTGACCAGTTCTGGAGAACCGGTAGCAGAAATTTTGAGCAGCTCGGAGAACCGGTGGTAAAAATTCTGACTGGCTCTGCCCCATCTATTCTCTGCCTTCCAAGTCCCGGCTGTCAGGGTTCCAAGGAACACCAACAAAATAAAGCTCTGAGGCCTGAGGTTCCTCAAAGTTTCAATTTATTAGAGATGTCATGTTGGCACATCTGGGAAAACCCGAATCTGAAAGCTTCCAGGTTTCCCCCACCCAGCTAAGACTTCACAGCCCTGCCCCACATCCACAAGTTCATCCACATTGTCCAATCAACTCTTCACACTCCATCGGATACAATCTTCAGGCAGTCTGCATCAGATGCAGGCAAAAGTCCTTGAAGACGGAATGTTGTTATGACTAACTTTCTATCGCTCCAACAACAACCCCCTCCCAACTTCCCCAGCTAAAATATGTGGCAGTTTAGAAGCAAAAAGAAAATTGTCTTCCAAAACTGACACCAGCTGATCTTGAGGAAATGGGGATTTTACAGTATCCTACCCCTAGAGTGGGGAGGGAATGGAGATTTTACAGTATCCTTCCCCTACCCATGCCCACCAAGCCACACCCACAGAACCGATAGTAAAAATTTTTGAAACCCACCACTGATCATATTCCCCATTTTTGGAAACTTTGGATTGGTACTTTTGAAAGAGGAAGAAACATTGCAAACTTTCAGCACGCTGTAAAGTGAGTAAGTCCCGCCAAATGGGTGTTGACTCTTTAGAAATCACATGAATAAACTTTTTCAAGGATGATCTATTTTCAAGACCTTTTAGGTCTATCCACGGAGCACTCATTGCTCTTATAATCAAACCCATCCATCTTGCTGCTGGTTCTTCTTTTATCCCTCCTTCCACTTTTCTCAACATTATGGATTTCTCAAAGGAACTTTGCATCATGTGTCTAAAATATAATAGTTTGAGCCTCAAGATTGATCTTTTTTTAAAGAGCCATTTCTTCTTTTTTTTTTCCTCCTGGTAATCTATGATATTTCCGTGAGTTTTTTTCTAACACCAAAGTTTAAGTGTCAATAGTCTTTCTATCATGTTTCTTTACAGATCCAAATCAACTTTTATATTAATAGAGCATCACAGAGAAAACCATGCTAGTATAGTGTTAATCTTTGTACAGAAATGTCATAATATCTGATTATCTTTTCCAAGGATTTCCCTGCTATCCTATTAAGTGCTAATCTGCTGCTTACTTCTTGTCTGATAGCTCCCTTCTAATTAATATCCAATCCTAAAAGGCAGAAAGTATCTATTAGTTAAATGCTACAAATTCAATCCTAGGAGTGATTAGCATATTTACTGCTATTAGTTTGGTCTTCTTTATATTTAATCTAGCTTTTTTCCCCGAGTATGAGCCTTCACTTTTATTAATAAAGTTTTTAGATTATTTGCATTTTAAGTTAATGAGAGCTGTATTATCAGCATTGCAGAAATTTTTGATATTTCTTCTTCCAGTTTTAAAAACACACTCATCTCCTTTTAACCCTGTTTCCCTCAAAATATTTGCAACATGCAGTTTAAATAAATAAGGAGAGAGTAAAAGTCAACACCCACCTTATGATTCTCTGTGTAGAGATGTTAAAGGCTCGTTGTCTATTTATTTTCCTGTTGCAGTTTCAGAATCAAGCAAATTCTATAAGAACGGAAATATTCTCCCATCACTGCTTGAGGCAAGAGGCAACTGGCTGAATTTCTGTGTGATTCTGTTTTGTACATGAAGTCAGATGTTGACAACTTGTATTGGTCTCTTCTGACTTTGAAGTACAAGGAATATTTCTCAAGTGTTACATTATCCAAAAAGCCATTTGCTCCTTGGTGTAACTTCCAAACAAGTCCCACAGCGACTTAGTGCCTCAGTGAGCTCAGCTGGAAGAATCTGGGTTAAAGAAGTAGAAATGATTGTGAAAAGCAGCTCCGTTGGTGAGAGAGAGAGGAATAGAATTCTGATGGTAAAAAAACGATGTCTACTGTTTCTAACAGCTAAGGGATTTCTTTCTTTCTTTCTTTCTTTCTTTCTTTCTTTCTTTCTTTCTTTCTTTCTTTCTCTCTCCTTCCTTCCTTCCTTCCTTCCTTCCTTCCTTCCTTCCTTTCCTCAAGAAAAAGTGGCAAATACAATCTAAACAATTTGTTGTGCTGTATGGCCCAAATTAGAGCGATCTCCAGTGATTTAGGGAAGCAGAACAATACCTTAGCTTAACATAAAGTAAAAAAAAAACAATCATTCAAAATGATGCTATTAATTTCTGTTCTTCAAAGGAGGCAAACATTTTAAACACAGATTTCCCAAGTGTTGAGAAGCTAGAAGCAATAATATTAATAGTTTTTCTGGAGAAGTGAGCTTGAGTATATCACAATTGAGCTGGATTAAGTAAGAACTCCAAAACTGGATGGATGTGGAAAGATAGATAATTCTGTCTGTCATAACTTAAAAGGTGTTCTTTCTTCAAGCTAGCAAGATATTTAAGCTTAAAAAAACGACTCCCAAATTCAGAAGAACTCTTTGTTAAGATTGTTGCCTTTCCAACAGTTTTCTTTGGGGGGAATTCTATTCAAACAGAATTGGTTCTGCGTTGAAGGAGTTACTGAAACATTAGGCCATGTTTTATTCTATTGCCTTTATTGTAAGGATAAAGATGCCCAGTTACAACTAATAACTCCCCAATTTGTCAGATTCTCTTGTAGATTCATTCTATTTTCTTGTTGTCTGACCAACAGGGTGCTTTTTCTATGAATATGGTTGGTTTTGCATGACAACCTGTAAGATAAATTGTGCCTTGAGCATGTTGGTTTTATAATAAATTTTATTGTGATTTTCTGACCCATTCCTTTAGTAAGGAAACAGACTATTAAAGGAAGGAACAGCACTGCATTTCTAGGGAAAATACTCTTGGTCTGGAACAGGGGTGAAATCCAGCAGGTTCTGACAGGTTCTGGAAAATCGGTAGCGGAAATTTTGAGTAGTTCGGAGAACCAGCAAATACCACCTCTGGCTGGCCCCCGAGCGGGATGGGAATGGAGATTTTGCAATACCCTTCCCCCAGGAGTGGGGAGGGAATGGGGATTTTGCAGTATCCTTCCCCTGGAGTCGGGTGGGAATGGAGATTTTGCAGTATCCTTCCCCTGGAGTGGGGTGGGAATGGAGATTTTGCAATATCCTTCTCCCAGGAGTGGGGAGGGAATGGGGATTTTGCAGTATCCTTCCCCTGCCACGCCCACCAAGCCACACCATGCCCACCAAGCCACGCTCACAGAACCGGTAGTAAAAAAAATTGGATTTCACCACTGGTCTGGAAGTTCCTAGATTTCTGCTGTACATGTGTCTTAAAATGCAAACTATAAACAGAACAGTTTGTCTTCCTATTAAATGAAGGATATTGATTTTCAAATGGAGGGACTAGGAGTATAGAGAATTTGGGGATATTAGCTCCCATTTCATGAATATAAACGGATAATTAAGTATTAAGATTTTATCAGAGTAACATGGAGGCTTTCCCTATTCTGCTTGTTTCTTCTTAATCAAAAATGTCAAATTTAATTCTGAAAAATATCACTACAAGTTTTTTAACAGAAAAAAGAATAGGTAGGGAGAAAAATAGATGTTCAGGAAAAAAAAAACATTTTGAACATTCTTACATATATCCAAGATTGCATCTAGCAAGCAACCAGAAAATTAAACAACCAGTCCTTTATTATGGTCAATGAACAGACTTACTGTATTTTTCAGAGTATAAGAAGCTCCAGACTATAAGACGCACCTACCTTTTTTGGTGAGGAAAACAAGAAAAAGAAATCTGCCTCTGCCTCCCAGCAAATTTGTCTCATTGGAGCAAACAACAAACAGTCTGCTTTACTTTCATTTTTGTTTTCAGCATAGCTTGATTAGCACAAGAAAAGAAAAAAATGCTCCCAGCAATTTACCTCCTTGCAGCAAACAGCTGAGGCCTGCACAGCAATAGGCAATGGCAATCCCTGCAGCCTGAAACAGCTGAGAGTCGGGAGGCCGATCCAAGGGACAATCAATTTATGCTAATTAGGCTGTGCTGAAGCTGAAATGGGCTGTTTCTTCTTGCTGCTTGCTGCAAGGAGGTAAATTGTTGGGAGGCAGAGGCCAAATGGTGGGGATCAGTGGGTGGGCGGGGCTACATTTGGTGTATAAGACCCACCCAAATTTTCACCCCCTTTTAGGGGGGAAAAAGGTGTGTCTTATACTCCGAAAAATACAGTAGATAGAACATCTTCAAAAATTCCAGTAAATTTATATACTTTCTTCTATGATAGGGGATTTGAAATGCAGGGAAAGTAATATTAATTAATATTACTTAAACTTAAATAAAATTAAATATGCAGCTTAATCCCATTTACTTTTTCAGCTCCTGGCTTGCCACTTAAATTCGGTGCATGGCTTTTATCCCAAACAAATTGCTCATCCATGTAACATAGGTTTATTAGAAAATGTCAAAAGATTCACATATGTTTTGAACAAGTCTACCCACTTTGCATTTTTTCAGGACCACAAAATTGTGGTCCTGAAATCGGAGAGA